GCAGAAAAAGCTGGCCAACGTATGGTGTGAGCTCAGCACATCTGTCCTCTGGGAGCACCACTGTACTCTACCATAGCCAAAGATGCTGAGCAGATGGAGGTGAGGGGGTGAAACTGGTGCAGAGTGGGTCAAAACTCACTTTCATGGTAAATGGTAATCATGGTAATTTAGTTTTAAAGTAGTAGTGCAGACCATGCCAATATACTGTTTGTCTCCTCTGGTGTCTTGGTGTCAGCCAGGAGGCAGTAGGACTGGTAATGACTAAATCCTGACTTTCACAGTATCACGCTTGCAAAGAACCATAATATTTAACCGTTAAATGCTCCCTATACAAGCTCGACCACAGAAACCAGCTGGAGTCCCAGCTACTCTCGTGCTGTCACCACACCACCTCATTAGCCTGGTGACTTGTTAAACACAATTCTGTCAAAGTTAGTTCTCCAGCCTGCCATTATTCAGATACTAACTAAACAAACTCCCACCAGCTCCCCTGGGGATCATTACATCTCTCTGCATTTATGCTGTCGCAGCAAAAGCTTAAGCTTGAATTATAATCATAAAGAAATTAACTTGCTGATTAAAAATGGTCCTTAAAGCAACATACATTTGAATAATCCATCATGAAAACAAATGAGTCCATAGCAGTGCTTTTGACCTGATTATCTTTTTTCAGCTTAAAATTTAAATCAGTTGCCTTTTTTTTCTCTCAGTCTGTAGCCTATAGAAAAATACAATGAATTACTAAAAAGAAAGCAATCGTTCAAACTGCAATAGCCATGGTGTGGAATATATATTTTAGATACGTCACTGCAAGATAGATTTATATGTCATGGACCTAATTTTTGGCTGAGGTACCTTCCGGGCAATTCCATTGACATTAGTTGTGTTACACAAAAAATAAGTTAATGCAGAAAATTTGGTTTCATATATTTGCGAAGTGTTTTGAAAATAAAAGAACTGCACATGGCAGAGCTGATCTAGTTCTCCTTGAAATTTGTAGTGAAGTTCCTCTTTAATTCAACAGGACCTTCTAGATCAGGTCCCATGAATGCAGCAGAGCTGTGTTTACAAGTAAGCATTTGGAAATAGTGACAGTTCAGTCATTTTAAACATTGCATATCTCACCCTACCTGTAGGTGGAAAGTGAACTGTTAACAATTCACAATAGACGCTTACTTTTAGACAAAGTCAGTCAATTTATGGCTGCCAGCTGTACTGGTTGGGTGATGAATCAAGAAGTGAGAGAAGATTTATGTGGTTGGAGAAAGATGCAGAAGGACAACTCTTAACTTATATGAGAATATGTGACACTGCTCCTGAAACTAAAGAAAAGCAAATTCAAATCTCCTTGCTTCATCACTTCCCCCCATCTCAGTTTCACTTTTATAGGTGTTTTTACAGTCCACAGTAATTCACATCTTTCATCCCCAGCCCATGCCACAAGCCCTCCATGCCTCTGTTTTTAAAAATCAGCCTTTATCAGTACTGGTCTCAGCATTAGCAACCTGATATTCCTCACCTTTTGGTCCAGGTAAAATTGTGTGTGTCGAGCAGACATCTGTTGTGGGTCGATTGTCAACATCAAAACCAAAAATCTGAACTTGGAAGATAAAAAGCACTACTATGGTCCCGTATTTCCTTAGCTGCTCTTCTTTCTTGCTGCTCATCCTTGCAGCTTCTCAGGAAATGCCTTTCGTCGTTAGAGTCTTAACAAATGCAGCTGATTCAAAAATAAATGCTGCACTAACCAAAGCAGTGCAAAGATTGGGAACTACATGCAAGAACAGCTAAATAAAGTGAAGAAAGGAGTTTTGTGATGCTGTAGTTATTTCTGTCCTGCACATTATCCAGGATATTTATTTAACGCTGACAGCTGTTTATTCCAATTTATGTCTTATCTGTGAGATGTTTAGCTGCTTTTGCCATGGAAAATTTCTTCAATATATGGGAATATCTCTTTTGTAATTTTTTTTTCCTTTCAGCACTGACTCTTTATGCCCAGCTTTTCACTTATTCAAGAGACAAAAGACTTCAGTATTGTATCCAAGTGAGTACTAATGATTTATAGGATACTTGTGGCTGGTTGTGTGCTGGAAGAGTAATGCAGACTCCATATAATATGTAGAGAGGCACTTGCACAAAAGCTTTCCTCCAAGGAGACTGTTAGTGATGATGGATGAGCTGCTGTGGTTGGAAGTCACTGGTGCTATTTCACACCTTTTGGGTGCCACACACCCATAGTCCCCAGAGCAGAAAATGGAAAGTTGATGTCATCAATGGGTGTTAGAGCCAGAAACCCACCAATGATGGTTTTATGCTTACAGATTGCTCCACAATGGTTGCTCTAAGGCCAGATTATGTTGGTAGGCACAGTACAGAAGGACAGACTTCAGGACTGAAGACACAAAGCAGGATGAGCTTGCGTGACTGCAGTGCCTCCTCCCATATCAGCTTTCCTCTGTACTTGGAGAGGCTGTGTATCAGGACAGTGGTATAGCATAGGTGCCAGCAGAATTTCATCTTTTGGTTGTCCAGGAAGCTGCTGCTGGTTTAAATCTGCATGAGGTAGCTGTCAGGTTTTCAATTGGGTGCTGGGACTTTGAAACCAGGTGCAGAAAGCCTCTTGGATGGAGGAAAAGCATATAGCATGCAAAACCACTAAATATCCTCTTGGAAGGAGCTGTGACCGATACCTACCCGTGGGCAATCCCTTCCTAGAAAAAACTGTAGCTTTCTCTGAGGGTGAGCACAATAACCAGGGCCAGCAGACCAATCAAGGTAGCCTGGCAGAACAGAAACGGGAGATGAGTATTTGTAATCTTTCCAGGAATTTTGTCCACTTCTGGTTTCTCACACAATGAAAGAGACAGCTACTTGAAAAGCTGAACTATGCTTTTGAACTCTCTAGTGTGTGAGAGCATATGTTTACTTTCCATTCCAGGCAAAAAATGCATTTCCTATGATAATAGCTTTTGAGATGCTTTCCTTATTATTTAAGAGAGTATTAGTTCCTTAGCCCTACAACATTTCAGCCTTTTCATAGACAGAGTAAGTAGCAGCACTGATGTAAAAGTGAATACCTTTTCTTAAAGGCTGAAGGAAGGCTTTGATTCTGAGCTTTCATCTGGGATGAAATGTTGGGCAGAGTCCCAAGAGAGGTCAAGAACACTCCTCTCCCTTTCCAGCCTGGTCACAGACTGTCCCACTTCTCAAAACACTTTTTTGTTAAACTGTATACAGTACTTTTCAGGAGTAAATTGCAGTCTCTGTCCTAAAGAATGTCAGCTAACTTACACCCCCAAATGTGGCCTTAATAATGGATACAGCACAGCTAGAGGGGGGAGGGAAGAGAAAGCTGGGATTATAGATAGAGTTGTACCAGGAATAAACTTGTTCCTCTGTGATTTGTGTTGGGCACTGTGCCTCTGACTTGTACACTGTAAATCTGTTTTATTTATCTTTTTCTTCTCTTCACTTTCCATTTTGTGAGCAGAAGGTCAATGTAAGAGCAAGAATAGCGAGCGTAGGAGTGGGAAGCTCGTGTACTTAGCTTTGGAGGAGGCATTTTGGGAAATGTTGCCAAACTGACGTGAATGATGCTATCTGTTCCACAGTACTGAGAGACTTACAGTGACTTCTTTGTTATTTATCAGGGATAAAGAGGGGTAAGTGTATGTGAGAGAAGAAACCATTTGTTTAACCCCTTCAGTCACTGACCAGGACTAAGCAGGGAACATTTTTCTGATACTACTGTTGTGATCATTTACAAATGTTCTCAGTCCACATTAGGAAAAAAATCAATACTTTTGTTTTTTACTTTTTTTTCCTCCATGAGAGTCACAAAACCCCTAAACACACATTGAGAAATGAAGTTTAATATATCAAAGAACTTAAAATGTAGGAGATCCAGATACAAATTCTTTCTCTGCCTAATTCAAACCAGTGTTTGCACTAGAGCCTTAAGGTTATATTGCCTTATTACAAGGCTGTTTGCTAATCAGTTATGTCTTCCTATCTGTTGGACCAGAAACACTGTCCTGGAGCTAGGAAACCTGCCTTAACAGGCAATCCATCAAAACTGATACACTAGCATGAAAGGCTTGTGTTTTGGCTAATCTGTATTTATCAAACCAGTTTCATTGAAAAATGTGCAAGCAGCTTCGTTGCTGATGGAGATTTAATGAGGCACATTGCCTATTGCACATGTTAATTCTCATTGAGTCGGGCTTAGAGAAATGTATGTGAGGAAGAGAGAAAATCAAACTAGGCAGTGTTGTCTGGACATAAGTGACATAAAGCGAACATTTCCTAGGGCACAAATGTTTTACAAGGAAACTTGAGAAGACACAAAAGAAAATCCTGAAAGATTGTGTTGCTTTGAGGTGAGTAGTAGCCAGGTAACCTTTCTGTAGTGCATTGCCTCCTTGGAGTCCACGTACTTACCCGGTAATTTGTATTACCTTCCTTGCTTATTCTTCAGATGTTAGTAGTTAAATGTCAATTAGACAACATCCTGAAATAGTTCTCATCAAAAGGTGGCCAGATCTACAGCCAATTTTAATAATTTGTAGAGTGGTTGGGCTCCATGTTAATACATCCTGCCTATTACCACGGGCTGATTCAGCCAGAAGTGCTGAGAGTCCACTGGCACCCTTTATAACCCAAATTTATTATTAAGGAGAACTTTCCTTTTCTGTACCTTAATGTACTGAATAAATCTGGGGGCATCTGAAGTAAATGAAAAAAAAAAGGAAACTATTTATCTTCTTTGGGATCCTAGATGATTTCGGTTCTCCTGGTATCAGAGGTCATGACAATTTGGAGTGTTTTGGCCTGCTGTACCAGATACATCAATCACAGTGGCAAAGCTTAAGAGAGAATGGAAGAGGAAAAGCAGTAACATGTGGTTTGCCAAGCGTAGGGAGGAGAGTAATCCTAGGGCTATTTTGTAAAATATCATTTCTGGTTTTGACACCACACAATGACTACTTGAGCCTGTAAACACAATCTCCACCAGTTGTTCTTCCTCAGAGTAAGATATAGCAATGACTGCATCTTGATATGCCTGCAAAGAACTGACAAAAAGAACCAAACTGAGGACAAAATTCTTCAAAATCTCTTTGCTTCTATGTTCAGTAAACAGAGCTTGTAGGACTCTTAATCATTTCAGGCAATTCATGTTGGATATCTGAGGGGCTCCATCAGCCTCAGCAGTATAGAAATGTATGTTTCTCTATCAACTAAGATCTCCCTGGTTTCTTGCTGGTGAGTTTGACTATCTGTTGGGGTTACCTTAAGGGGTAGGTCTGACACAGGGATAGCACTCTAGGAGAATCTTTAGGTCAGCTTTAGAGCTTACAACCCCTTCTTGGGATACTCCTTTCCCACTCCTATCCCCCTCAGCTTTTAGCCCTTAAACAGAAAAGCTGACCCAGGTTCCAGCTGGCAGTGTCTGCTGTGAGGCAGGAGGGCTTTGGAGACAGCTGGTGCCCAGGGAGCAGGATGACTGCTCAGCACCAAAATCTTAGAGAGAGCTTGGGTTGCAGACCACAGATTCAGAGAGCTGCTGGACGCTTTATGAGGTGCAGTACTGAACCTTGTACCCCATTTTTAAAACAGACCTCAGTTGTGTGTAACTTCTTCTCACTCAGGTAGCACTGCATTAGAACTTTGCATTCCTAACTTTTGCACTTTGCAAGAATTTACTGGCTCACAGTGAATGTGTCGTAAGCACTTTTCTTGTAAGCACTTTCATTGAAGATACTTCTCTGACAGTTGGCCTGTAAGCTTTCAATTTGACTCCAGATGCCTTTGGCTTTACTCATATGGCATCAGCCTTCCTGAGAGGCCTGAGACTATTGCTATTGTTTTCCATGCAATCACTCGGAGAAGCTGTCCAAAAGCGTAAGGCATTCACACATGCATTCAGAGATGTGATAGAAAGTGAAATGCTCAGTGTGGTTTGTAATTGTGTTTATCTAAGTGCAGCCTCTTCCTGTGTCAGAACAGATTTTTGCAAACAAGAGGGCAATGATTCAGTTCCAGGGGAAGACTGACAAAATAAACCCCAGCTTCTGCTGACCTGATGCAGTGCTGAACAGTGTCCTACCCTGGGAAAATATTTCCTGCTTCATTTTCATAAATATTTATGTAATTCCTTCTGGGAAACTTGTCTTCTTCAGAAAACTGAACATGCTGCTCCCTGACACAAATTTAACTGTTTACACACGAGAGATTAAGGGCATGTACCCAGCCTCAGATTTTTACATTCTTATCTCAGGCATTTCTATCTCTTAGAGTCCTCCTTCCTTCTCTGCCTAGAGGTCACATCACATCTTGAGCCACGGAGCTTAGCTCCGGCTCTGGAATTAGAATGTCCCCAATGCTCTTTGGAGAGTTGTTATTTTGGGCTGTGGAAATAGGGACCAAATGCAATGCTCTGCCTGGAATCACACTTCTGTCCTGCCCAGTTATGCCCTTCCTATTTTGGTTTGAGGCTCCTCTCTAAAAAAAAATAATAATTAAAAAAAAATAAAGTAAGCAATTGAACAGAGGATTGCGTGGCTAATGAAAGTGTTTATATTTAGAAACAGACCGCAACACACTGCTGTGAACTGAGATAGAACTGGTGTGCAGTCTTCTGAGTTTGCTTTCTAAGTCTGTAGCTAGGATTATTGGCAAAGTTGTGCACAAGCTGCCCCGAGAGTACAGGTATAATCCCCACCATGACAAATCAAAAACATTAAACATTTTTTAATTGAACAGAAAAGTCACTGACCTTACAGTACAGACTGACTGAGCCTTGTATGAAGCCTTGTATTAGTGCAAAGCTGAGCTTTGCTTGCCAATGGACTCACAACCCTTCCATGAAGTGGTGAACAGTGTGGAGCGCTGCAGAGAAAGCTGTGTGATGGGTGGAAGGCACAGGCACAAGAGATGGCAGAAGCTAAGCTTGTGCCCAGTATAA